TTGCAGATTTGCCTAAGAGATAAAAATCTGCATAAAGATTTCTTCACAGTTTAAATCAGGATTTTTTTTATTCTAGACTAAATTGAATGCAGATTATTTTAATGTAAATGTAGAAAACTAAAAAAGTGCTCACCTGAAATGCAAACCTCTCTCTGTTCAGCTTTGAGTTACTTTAATATCTGCACTTGGATCCCATTTTTGTAAAATAACCTACTGTAGCTCTTTTAGAACAATAACTACAGTAAAAAATATCATATTATTTTCATGAAGATCATTGTCACAATATGATGCTTTTACATCCTTATCAGGGTCACAGTTGCAGCTCTCCTGTTATTTACAGAAATGAATAAATTAGGCCCATTTACAGGTAAATGATGAAAAAAAAAGAGGTATTTTCAGGTCATATTTTCAACAAACCATCACTCAGCACCTGTTAAAAGTGTTTAAGTCAAAGTGGCAGCGTTTTCTTCAGACAGTTCTGGGCAGCCMCAGGGAGCCCAGGTCCCTAATTGACAGTGATGTGTTCTTTGAGTCTGTGCAAGAATGTCTCATCCAGCAAGATGACCAGAGCTGCAGCGCCTGACAAGACACATTAATTAACACTGGAGACAAAAAAAAGGAAGAGTACAGAAATAACAACCTAGGGAAAAATAATTAAAAGCTAACTCATTCTGAGTGGAAATACTGGCCTTAAACAGTTCCTTCCAAGAACTTCAATTAAACATTTGCCTTTGACAAAATTAGGACTGAAACTGTTGAAATGAAAAAAAAAACTGCTTCTCTGGTTTATCTGACTTTTTTTTTCTTTTACAATATAACATGTTGGACAATTAWTATAATTCTCTCTAGTAAAAATTAGAAGTAAGAGGATGCACACATGCATCCCTCAACCCAGCTTCAAAGGCCAAGAAGGACATCTGAGGACAGTAAAATGAGACGTTAGTCGTGTTTCCATCTAATTTCACTGCAAATTTTGAGCAAACTTTTAAAATGTCGCCAAAAAAGAAATGTGAATCAGACGRGTTTCCATCACTTGGCTTGAAGCGAATCAACCAGGCTACACTACGTGTAATTACTTCAGAGGTTGGCGTTACGCATGGCTGTGGTAAACAGGAGGTAAYGTGGCAAACTCGCAGAGATACACATCTAAGGACAACGGAGACAGGTTATCAGGAACTTTGTAATTATTCTGCAGAATCAACTAGTATTGGCGATGTTCCATGCTGTCTGGAGACGTAGAGAAAGAAACGCAATTATTTTCACGTAATGAGAATATGCGGGAAGACGCCGACAACAGGAGGAGGGTCCAGCTGCAGCCGCTACAATTACTGGACAGTGGGAACAGCTGACCAAGGTAAATGTTCACTATGTCAGAATTTATTCAGAAAATGTGTTTTCATTGCCCCTTTTTCGCATTGTTTTTGAAAATCTAAAAACCACCTCAAGTGAGCGTAAAAACATTTTCGCGAAGTTTGCCATTTCTATTCACCTTTTCTAATGCGACACTTCAAAATGCGCGTAAAAAATGTTGATGGAAACATGGCTAATGACGCCTTTTTCTCTGCACAATTAGATSTAGAATTTCTTGAAGTGACTATTTCAACTGCATTCCTGAAATAAAATAAATGCCAAAAATATTTACTTCTCAAAAATATTACAGTGTAACCTTTTTTGTGTAAACACACACACCCACACACACACACACAAAGCCCCACATCTTCACCGTGAAAACCTCAACAGGATCTATTCCGTCTCCCTCCCCTTTCATCCCATTCTTTCTGCTCTGCGAGGCAGGTTAATGACAATAATAAAATCACACTCTGTATTTCCTCCGTGCTTTGAATGGCCTCATCAATTCACAACTGGCGTGAAATACTGAGAAAGAAGAGAGAGAGAAAAGCAAAAAAAAAAAAAAAAAAAAAAAAAA